CACTCTTTGATTTGCACTTTGTCAAAATGACAGTTTTGGCATCCTCAAGGGACTCAAATCATGTTCCGTTTTAAATGTTGAGTTTGGGAAATAAAAAGTGAAAGAGGCAAGACCAGGGCTGTAGGCTATTGGGAAATTTTTCCTTGACAACTTTCCTATCATTTTTTCTCACCAGTGTTGTTTTCAATTTTTCTAAAATTTCTTCATAACACTCCGTGAGCATCTTGTATCCTTTGGAAAAAATCTGTCAAGATTATTGCATTCAAATTCCCTCAAAAAGTCACCATAACCTTATAAACTGACATCTCTGCTTTGAATTTAACCTGCCCAGCAGATTGCCTCTAAAACCACTTTTTGGATTGAACCTTTTTTTCTGAAGACACCCTAATGAGACTAAGATAAGTCTATTACTAAGAGATCATGTCTGCAGCAATCCATGGATCGCAGAGACATGTTGAACACATTTTGTTTGGAATAAACCCCTGCATGGAGTAAACCCAAACATGGAACCATGGTAACATTACTTTTTTACATATTCTTGCATGGATATATTTTAATGTTTTGTTGTTTGCATTCCAGAGCAAGTTAGTATCTAATTCATCAATTTATAAACATTTTGTTTAGTGATATTAGTTGCAATCTCTGTAATGTAACAACACTTTCTTCCTTCCTCCCTGGATATCCTGTTTCCATTTGCTCATCTATCCTACCTCTTCCTGCCTCTGAACTTTGTTTTTGGGTGAAGACTACCTGATTGCTCTTATATAGTTGATTGTTTTGAGGAACATATTCTTCATGGGTTCTGCTCACTTTATAGGTCTGAAAGGTGATCACTGGAGTCTGTTCAATTCCATTTTGAAGGGTGTCTAATGACCATAGTCTTAGTATTCCACCAATCTCTTTCAAACCAGTAAGGTTAACCTTATGATTTTGAATTTAGTTCTACATTTTTCTCCCACTCTTTCTTCTATTTCCAATCAGAGAAATTGGTAGTGGTAATGGAGCACCATCTAATTCTTCTGGTCTAAGACTAATGGGACCTCTGGTTTGTGTGGCCTAATTGTCCTTTGGCCCATTGTTTTCTTGAGTCTTTGGTTTTCTTCACACTTCTTCATTCCAGATGAGAAGAGACCAATGGTTGTAGCTTAAATTACCACGCAAAAGTTCTTAAGATCCTAATTGATACTCACCAAAGTAGGATGTAGAACATCACTCTTTAGGTGCTATGCCAGTTGACTTAGATATCCCCAGAAACTATGGTCCTAAGCTCTTAAACCCAGTGACCCAGCCCCTCAACATGTTTTGTTATAGCTGAGAAGTTTGCATATATTTTCCTATTGTATGCACTACTATATACTTGGATATATTTGTACCATATACAAATAAATATAAAAATATCCTCTGCCAAACATACATATGCTTGTGAGTGTATCCCCATGTGCCATTCCACTTCTGTTCAGCTTACATATCTACCTATATATCTACTCATAAATTATTTGCTGTTACTATTATTACAGGATTACATATGAAATCTTATTTACATTTTGCTTTTTACTCTTGTGTACCTTGCAGTGTCTTCTTTTTCCTTGGACATGTTTTGTGGAATCCCCTTATGTATTCCTTTTCCATTCACCCAACTTAATACATGTTTCCTGGCCTG